CACTGGATCCCCACTGGATCCAGAACAGGGCTCCCTGATTTGTGGGAGTCCCAAGGCTGCCTCTTTAAGGCTGCGTCCGCACTGGGGAACTAACCCGGGTTGAGCCCGCTTTAGCTGCCATGGCTATAAGATTCTAGGGTGCTGCTAGCCCTTCTGGTGAAAGAGCTCAGGTTTGAGTGCTTTAACTTCAGCCCATGGGAGCCTGGGATTGGTGGTTTTGTGAGGCACCACCAGCACGCCTTGGCAGACCTTGTGAAACTACAAATCCCAAGATTCCTACAACACTTAAAAGTGGGGTCAAACTGCATTATTTTCCACAGTGTAGGTGCACCCTGTGGTGTAACTTCAGCCTGTGGGGAGCCTGGGATTGGTAGTTTTGTGAGGCATCTTTGGCAAAGGAGGAGAAAGACCTTGTGAAACTATATATCCCAGGATTCCATAGGAACCGCAAAGGAGGAGAAGGCACTGCAAAATGGAAGACATTCAAGAAGGGGGCGGGATGTAGGACATTCCAAAATAAAAGCTAAAAACACTCATATAAATATAAATCCATGCATCTTAAATTAGGCTCCAAATGGAGGACATTTTGGAATTCCTCCTGGGCAGAAGGTTGAAATTGAGGACATGTCCTGGAAAAGGAGGGCGTCTGGTCACCCTGCATAGGATAGAGCTATGGCACTTAAAGTGGTGCCAAGCTGCATTATTTCTGCAGTGTAGATGCACCCTCTACCTGAAGCACACACGCGCCTTGGTCTGGATTCAAATGCTGCCAGTTGCTACCAGAGCTGTAGTTTTGCAGAGAAGTTTTCTTCCATAATAATAATAATAATAATATTATAATAATAATAAAATTTATTTATATACCGCCCAATGGGTTGCCCATAGCATCTAGCCAAGCAATAGGTCCATGTGGTGTAGATTGCACCAGTGTTTTTGAAAGGCAAGGTGACCAGACATCCTCCTTTTCTAGGACATGTCCGACATTTCAACCTTCTTAATGTCCAGGAGGCATTCCAAAATGTCCTCCATTTGGTCCATGACTAAGAAGCATAAATTTACATTTATATTAGTATTTTTAGCTTTTGTTTGATCATGGCCTAATTTTTTCTGGAATGCCCTACATTTTGCAGTGCCGGGTCCTCCTTTGTGGTTATGACATCTGGTCACCCTGCTAAAAGGTCTCCAGACCATCAGTCTTTCCATTTTCCTACAGCCCTGGTGCTGCCTGGCTTTTGAGCAGCAGCTGCTTTGTAGGTAGCCTTTCCTTCCACTATTTCTGGCCAAGCTTGAAAAAGTTGCTTTTTTGATCTACAGCCTCCAGAATCTCCCAGCCATACAACCAGAGTCCAAAACTGCAGAAATAATACATTTCAAGACCACTTTAAATGTCCTGGCTCAGTACTAGATATTCCTGGGAACTGTAGTTTATTGTGGCACCAGAGCTTTCTGACAGAGAAGGCTAGATGTCTCACAAAACTACAGTTCCCGGAATTCCCTCGCATTGAACCAGGGTAGTTAAAGTGGTCTCAAACTGGATTATTTCTGCAGTGTGTTTTGGACCTAGGGCTGCATCTGCCCTGCAGAAGTAATGCAGTTTGACACCCCTTTAACTGCCATGGCTCCAGGCTATGGAATTCTGAGATTTATAGTTCTCTTGGTTCTCTGAGAGAGATGGCTAACTATGGGGCTTTGCAGACTGCTAGAAATAGTGCAAATTGAGTCCACTTTAAGGGTTAGGGAATCATGGGAACTGTATTTTATTGTGGCACCAGAGCTGTCTGACAGAAGAGGCTCAATGTCTCAGAAAAAAAAAAACATTCCCATGATTCCCTAGCACTAACCCGAACCCTTAAAGTGGACTCAATTTGCACTATTTCTGGCAGTCTGCAAAGGCCCTATCTCACAAAACTGCAAATCCCAGAATTCCATAGCCTGGAGCCATGGCAGTTAAAGGGGTGTCAAACTGCTTTATTTCTAAAGTGCAGACAAGGCCTAGACATTTTAGTCCAAAAATGTAACTTTTTCAAGCTCAGGACTGGAGGCATTCTCATCCACGATTGATTCCACTTGGCCACCAGTGGAAGGAGCAAGAACTGGGTAAAGAGGTCTCTTACAAAGTCATGCCTGTGGCTGCCAAAACTTGATTATCGGGGTACAGATTTGGGGGTGGAGTGGGAGAATATATGATCCTAAACTAGGGGTGGGCAATTGCACCAGGGCCAAATTTCATCTCTGTACTGTTTTGACAGGCCATAGGGACAGAGCTTAACCAACTCAGAAGTGATGTGATGTCACTTTTGGTTTCAGTTTTAGCTGAAAATCAGGTTTTATGTGTCAGCATGTGCATATGTGTGTATGTGTATGTGTGTCAGGGCTATGACTATGGATATGGGAGGGTGCAAGCAGCACCAGGTGACACCTTAATGTGGGGTGACACTACTGCTCCCCAAATATCTGCCATGGGCTGTGTTGTTTTCCTGCATCTCTTTAAAATGCTGAAGAGATGATCTGAATAGGGTGAGGCTAAAGGTAGAAGAAAGGAGAGGGCTCAGGCTTCTTTTTAAAAAAAATTAAATTTACTTTTTAAAAAAAAATACTCGTTTTCAATTTTATTTACAAAAATCACATTTTTTCCAAATGTTCACTTTAACCACATGAAACTATGTACATGTAAATACATTTAGGCTGTACATATGATATTGTAATTTAAAGGTTTAATTTCAGTTTTACTAGTTGTTTATGTCACATAGGGATGCGGTGGCTTAATGGTTAAAACGCTAATTCTGATGATTGGAAGATCAGCAGGTTGGCAGCTCAAGGCCCAGGTGCTGCATGATGGGATGAACGCCTGTCACTAGTCCCAGCTTCTGCCTACCTAACAGTTTGAAAGCATGCAAATACAAGTAGATAAATAGGTACCACTTTGGTGGGAAGGTAACAGCATTTGGTGCAGTCATGCTGGACACTTGACCAACGGAGTCGTCTTCGGACAAGGCTAGCTCTTTGGCTTAGCAATGTAGATGAGCACCGCTCCCTACAGTTGGTTACGACTAGACATTCATGACAAGGGACTACTACCTTTACCTTTTTATGTCACATCAATTGCCATTACATTCATTGATATACAGGAATTACAATTTATGAGTAATATTAGTACAAAAACATTAATAAAGAGTCTCTATTTTGTGGTATGAGAGGTCAATGGGGGGTGGCACCGTGAGTTACCGCACCGAGTGACACCAACCCTGGTGTGACACCACTGCTGTGTGTTTACATCTGCCAACATTATTACTGTGGCTCATTTTTCAGCACCAATTTTTTAAAAATCAGGATGGGGGGGGGGGCAAGGGGTTG